GTCAGTGGTTATGCACATGGCTTTAACGTACAGGGGCTTCCATAGACCCAGTTGTAACTATTGCTCTTGTTTTCTGTTTGCACCACATCTGTGTAAAACGTAGCATGGGGTCCTGGGTTTGGACGATGATAGGGATATTAGTTATCTTCCTACCTGGCATGCGTTCCTTCTCATATAAGTTATGTGTCATCTTCCTACTTCATGTGCAGTCTTGGTGGGACTGTCAGTTGGGATGTCCTGCCCTCTCTTGGCCAGGATTTGAGCTCATGATAGTTCTAAGCCAGTCAGAATGACCTCTCTTGGGAATCTGCATATCGAACAAGGATGGACGCCATTTGAGTTGATTCTTTTAACAATTGCCCCCTAAAGGGGCTGTCATTATTTCCTCTTACCCAAATTCCTGATGGTTCTCTGATTCTTCTTTCTCTGACGCCTGGTATTTTACCCCTTTCTTCAGTTCTGTTTGTTCCCAATAATTTCTCTTGTTGGTTTCTAGTCCCTGCAAGCAAGAATCCTGTTTCAGTAATATTGATTTGCATTTGCCTAGGAACTGTAGAATTTCAGCTGGGAAGAAACTTAAAGAAAAACCCTAAATGCATTTAAAGTGAGATGTGAAAGTTTGGCCAGGTTCTTCTTCTTCTTCTTCTTCTTTTTTTTTTTTTTTGTATCATAATTTTGTATGTGAGCAAAAGAAACATTAAGTGAAGATGGAATGTATTTTTTCCCCTGGATAGTCCCCCGATTGCCATATTTAAAGTAAAAAGAATCTCCATTGAAGGTTTATAGACTCAACCACTTAGCTGGTATTGTCACTTCCATATCTCAGAGATCTCAGACCCAAAGTGTCCAAGACGAGACACTTAATTAATTTCCTCCAAATTTGCTCCCCAGGGACCCAAACAAGGAAAGTTTAGGGTAAGAAACAATTCCATGTTTTATTGTGTTGTAAATTCTTGCCTGGCATCCCTATAAGAAAGGCGACATTTAATAATGTAGGGTCATATTTTTTCTGGAAGCTTTTAAAAGCTTCTATCAATCATTTTTTCTTTATCCTAATGACATTATTAAATTTGGAAAATAGAAAAAACCCACATACCTAATCCTAGCACCCAAGGACAGCTCTTGATAATGTTTTGGGTAGTTCCTCTCCACCCCAATCTTTAATTTTGCTTTTCACTTAACATTATATAATGAGCAGTCTCTGTTTAGCAATACAGGCTTCCTAAACGTTTTCTAAAGGACTGCATATCGTTCTCTTAAGTGGCTATTCTGAATTTACTCAATCATTCTCCTTCTGGACATTTAGACAGGTGGAGTAAATATAGACTACCGAGATTTTATGCCTCCACTTACCCTGGTAGCAGAATAATTTAGACAGACCTACAACGTGCCTTAGCGGGGGGTTTGCAAAGCATTTGCAGTTCGTTTAGTTCTTTTGCTCCTAGAGACAGGATTGCTCAGATACAAATGCTTATCACAACATAAATGTCTGTACTCCTAAAGCATTGGGAAGCTGTTAAAATCCAAATTTGGTTCTTGCCCATGAAAATCTGAAAGGACAATAGATTTCTTTGTGTGTGTTTTCTCCTAGCCTCTAGGGTTGGTAAGATTTTCATAACTTGTATTTAATTTCTACTATTGAGTTTATTGGGTTTAAGTTTTGGATCTCAGTCCCTTTGGATTTGCTTCTGCTCCTTCCCCTATATTTCTGCAGAAAGTGATTGTGTTTGGGTTTCCACTCTTGGAGGGCAATCCTTGGTCTGAACTGTTTTCATTTATTTTATTTTAAAATTACAAAGCCATTTCTAGTTATATTTGGTTTTGCAATTCATTCCTCCCTCTGTTTTACAAAAACCATAAAACCCACATTGTCTAAAAATGCTGTGTTGAGCAAAATGGATTCAGTCCTCGCCGGAGAGCAGGAAAGGATGGAGCCAGTATGTGCTATAAACATTTCCAGGGAGATCGTCTCTTTCCCAGAACTGGTTTTAGTCAAAGGCTGCTGACCAGTTGTGCGATTTCATTTGGGGTCGCTGACCCCGGGCCCTCCTTGAACTTGACTCTGGAGGTCACGTGGGCATCTGCCTGCTCTCCACGCTGCACCCTCTATTCAGGGCTGACCTGGCCCTGCCATTATTTTTTAAGGACCCAAGCCATCAAAAACCAAGACTTGGATTTCTGAATGAACATTTCTAATGTTCAGCTTGGTGGTTTCCTGTCACAAAAGCACAGACAGAGTGAATTCCAATTGTTCTACAGTGTGGATCTTTCTTTTCCGGTTAGATTAAACATCCTCATTCCCTTCGATTGCAACATTTGATCTTCCATGCTCAGATTCTGTGAATTCTCCCAACAGTTTATTTTCAGCAGATTATGACTGGCCTTTCATTTTCCAATTTGAGGAAAACCAAGTGGAAAGTGTGGGTTTTCTGGAGGATTTTTTCCTGCTTGCCTTCATATGTAATTGATGGCTGTGATAGCTGAGGAAGACGACTTTCTCATGCAGGCTCTTGCTTCTGCTAGGCGCCTTTGCTTGCAGTGTTGTTGGACAGACTCGACTTCCACTGTGTGAAGTTCCAGGTGTTCCCACCTGGCCACCGTGCCGATGGCAGCTTTGGTCCCAACCCAAGACCCAGGAGAGAATTCTGAGAAAATCTGAGCCTTGAACTCTCCGCAGAGACCACTTGCCACCCTCCACTCCTCTTTCCCTGCCCAGAGTCAGGGGTGTAGGCAAGAGAAGGAGGAGTAATATAGAGCAGGCATACTGCTCACAACTCTGGCATTCTTAGGATAGAAAACTATCCATTCACAGTGGGACCTTAGGGGGCAACCTTGCATGCTCTTCTCTGGGAGACCCCTTTGGTGGCTGAGCCCCACTCCAGCCTCCATCCATGTCGTATCCCCTTTCTTGCTTCTCCCAGCGCTCTGGTTAGTTTTTCCCGAGACCACCCTTCTCCACCAACCTGTGAACTAGACGAAGATCGAGAGACATCCCCACTGGCAAATGTTTGCTGAGTGAATGAATACATGAGTCATGGCTGAGTATCTCCCAGGGACTCTACAAGGAAGCAGGGCCTTCCGGGTTTGATTGGAGGAACTTCCCAGATATTTCATAGGGCTCCCTTCCCGGCAGCCTCCTGCCTCATTTCCTAGGCCTGCTGTAAAAAAATTACACAAACTATAAGTTTATGCTCTCATAGTTCCAGAGGTGGCGAGTCCAAAGTCAAGGTGTTCTCAGGGCCACTGTCCCTCCAACGGCTCCAGGGGAGGATCCTTCCTTGCCTCTTCTAGCTTTTGGTGGCTCACTTGTCCCTTGGCTTGTGGCTACATCACTCCAGTCTCTGCCTCTGTCTTCACATGACCTTCTCGGGTTCTCTCTCCCAAGGCATCCATCATTCAGTTTCGGCCCCACCCGTGTAACCCAGGATGATCCCGTCTTGAGATCCTTAACTTAATTGTATCTGCAAAGACCCTTTTTCCAACAGGGTGACAGTTACAGTTTCTGGGGAGCAGGATGTAGATATATCTTTTGGGGGGCCATTCTTCAGCCCCCCAATGTGAGTCATACAGAGGGGCCTGGGTTTCAGAGGTTCATGGTCTCCATCTGAAAGACCAGACCTTGAGTTGGATGGGATTTAGGTTCCCCCAAGTAGACATTCAAGATCAAGACTGTCTTGTGGCCCCTTCTCCAATTCCACCTACTCTTCCCTATTCCTGAAGAGGAGATGCAGGACTTTGACTTTTCCTCTGCCTTTGTTTCCATTCTGGGTCACTTGTTCTAACATGAAGCCTTTTCCCTGAGGAGCAAGGCCAAGCATCCATATTAGTTTCTAATTACTTGTGCATATGCAACTGAACAAAATGCCTTCTTACTTAACAACTCACTACCTAGCAGCCTGTTAATTATTTTCGTATAGACAGTTTGGAAAATATCTTCTTTGCTTTAGCCAGTATTTGAACTGGCCTAAGCATTGGTGAAAGAACAATATCCTTCTCTTTTTCAGAGATGGATCCTATTTGTTCTGTGTCAAATCGAGGCCATTTCAGTAGTGAAATTCCAAGTGTACCCCAGATGCAAGGTGGGCAGCTTCTTTGAGAAGCTATTTACCTTCTGCTTGTCTCCGTCACCATTTTCCTTAGTGATTTTTTGTTTGTCTTAAGTCAGGTCCTGACAGTGCTGAATCAACCATTAAATGGGTTTTCAAAGATGCAGTTCATAAAGATGCAACCACCTGGGGCCTGCCCTAGAAATCTACAAATCTGATTCTACCATCTCGCTCTCACTTGAGAATCTGGGCTTTAGTTCTTTACACTATAAAGGCAAGGGACAGGACAGATTAGAACTGGAGGATGTGGCCCCTGGCCCCTTTACTAACTGTTAGTGACCTCAGGTATGTCACTTCAACTTCTCTGGGCTTCAGTGTCCTCATCTCACATGGGTCTAAAACCATCAACCCTTCTCTAGGTCAGAAAAATCAAATGCTTCCTGTGACTCTAATTTCTAGCTCTAAAGTTAAGTTTCTATGATTGATATTTTTATCTGAACTGCTTGCAAAAGTAGTTTGCAAGTAAGAAATAATCTACAAAGATACCCATCATTGTCTATGTGTTCAGTCCTTCTCCACAAACACAAAGCAGCATTTTGTTTGTTTGTTTGTTTTGTTTTTTTTGTTTTGGATTGCAGTTTATAGCTCCAAGTTGCTTTAGATGGGAAAAGTCTTGGGCATCCTTACCCAGGTCTTAGTTAATCTACTTCTCCACCTGGATCTGTCATACAAATAGGAAGTTGCCTAGAACTTTAATGGGAAGAGAATTATAGTAATCAGTATACTTGGTGCTAGCTGCTAATAACAGCCCCCCAAATCTCAGTGATTTAAGACATAATTGTATGGCTCGCTCTCACAAAGTCTTACGTTGATATTCCTGGTTTGGTGGCTCTCATTGGGGGAAGAGCCTTTTCTCTGAGCTGTGACCAGGCCTTCTCCATCCTTTGGTTTCAGCTCAGAATCCATGCTTACAGCTCAGAAGAGGGAGAGAGAGGGGGAGCAAGAAGATGGCACCAGAAATTGTGTGGTTCCAACCAAACTGCAAGGGATGCTGGGAATGCAGCCCTCCTGCATGGGGGGAAGAGGAAGCAGGTTTGGTGAGCAAGTGATCTTATCTCTGCCGTAGAAACCTGTCTCCTGCTTTGGAGGGAAGAAGAGATACAGGCCAAATGACTACCCTCAGCCCTCATGGCATAGCTGGGTAGATCTCAGAATGAAATGTGTGATTTCCATTGTGCTCCTGAAGGCGTTGACCCACGCTTACCTTGTCATCACTCTGTACCACAGTGACATTATTCAATTCGAGACTGTGGTTTTGTTGCTCATGTGCTCCCAGGGCCTCATGGGAATAAGATGGAAAGTAATTTGGGTGACCAACAGCCTCTACTCACTGAGGTTTATACTTCCTTGTCCAAGCGTATCCAGCCACATCTTAAGAGGTCAGAAGGGTAATAATTATAACAGTCAACATCTATTAAGTGCCTGCTGTATACTTAGCACCATGGTAGGCATGCAGACCTTCCTTATTTAATCATGCCATTTAATCATCAAGATTCACTTTTACCAGTGGCTTGGGAACTGACTATGGAGAGTGGATTGCTAAGTGATTTTAAGGAAAAGAGCAATTATAATTCCTTTTAAAGTGATCTCTTTGAGAACAGCCATTATTCGGATGGGTAAGTTCTGACGGGTTTATGAACACGCTGGTCATGTGCCCACTGAGTCCTATCTTCAAGTGACTTGGTGGGGGCCGGGGGCTGGCCTGTCACCACTTCTGTGAGCAGATGGGGCTGTCCATCTGCTCTGCACGTTCACTGTTGCCTGCTCAGCTGGCAAACCTGAGGGCAGAGCACTGGGGGATCTCACTGCCCACCTAAGTGGACAGGGCTGCCTGTCAAAAGGGATCTCAGTGTTCTCTTGGGGTTTCATGTTTTGGGAAGTTGTGCTTTAGGGGACCCTGACCGAATAGTGACTGCCATGGCTGGGAAGAATGGTATTCATGGGCCCAGACATTTTCATAGCTGAAATTGGCATCTCTCAATATCTTTCCTTCTCCCAGAGGAAGGTCTGAGTGTGCCCCTCCAGCAAAAATTTGGGCTCCACATTCATTTTATGCAGATGTATCTTACATGAAGGGACGCAGTTGGGGGACGTCTGAGTTCTTCCTTCTCCCCCGGCAGCTCTAGAAATGGAGATGGCCCTGAATACAGATTTCTAGGACTTTTGCGGGGCTGCTCTGGGTATCAGCTGTTACAACGGGCACCTTCACTTTAGACGATGGGCACTCCTTGCACCGTGTCCTTAGTTGTGGTGAGCAGCACTCAAAAATGATTTAAAAATAGATCTCCACAAGAACGTTATGGATTCAAGATAAGGGGAGGTCTTTCATCACCCCCAAAGAGCCTTGTCTAATAGTAACAAAGCCCCTAGCGTTTAAAGGTAAGGTCAGAATCTGAGCTAAAATCTTTATTAACTACAGCCTCAGCTTCTATTTCCAGTAAGTCGTGGAATTCCAGATGACAGTGGGCTAAAGCAAAAAGTGTTTAAGGTGTACAATTGGGGCTTTTTGTTCCTGAAATGTAGATTAAAAATTTCTTGGTTCCATTCGGTTGTCCAGTTGGAGAAGGGAAAGACAATATGGCAAACACTTTGAAGCCCTTCTGGCAGCACCTAAACCTGCCTGCCTGCCTCCATCTTCTCCCAGCGCCTTCCTCTCAGCGCCGTGACTTTTGCTATGGTGGCTTCATGGTGCTGCCTCAGAAGTGGAGCTGCCAAAGGACATGAACTCTATCTTCCAGCCATTCACAAGGCACCGAGCAGTTGGGCTGGGTGTTGTGATCAACCAGTCCATCCCCAGTGACACAAGATCAAAGAAACACCAGAGGCTGGGCATGGTGGCTCATGCCTGCAATCCTAGCACTCTGGGAGGCTAAATTGGGAGGATCGCTCAAGGTCAGCAGTTTGAGACCAGCCTGAGCAAGAGCAAGCCCCCCTCTCTGCTAATAATAGAGAAAATTAGCTGGGCATGGTGGCACATGCCTATTGTCCCAGCTACTCGGGAGGCTGAGGCAGGAGGATCACTTGAACCCAGGAGTTTGAAGTTGCTGTGAGCTAGGCTGACACCACGGCACTCTAGCCAGGGCAGCAGAGTAAGACTCTGTTTCAAAAAAAACAAAAAACAAAACAAAACAAAAAACCAAAGTTAATCCTTATGCTCCAGACATCACTGTGTTTAGGACTAACCCAAATTTCTTTAAAAATAAACAAATAAATAAATAAGAAACGGCAAAGTGGTTGACATTCACTCTTTCTTACAGAACGGAGTCTGTGGGCAACCTTTACTTTTTCGGGACATAAACCGTGAGAATGGCACGAACCTTTTCTGTTTTCTGATCGTCATTTGGACTCAGCCTCACATTCCTCTGCCCTCAACGTGTGTACTGGGCCTGATATTATTAATAGTAGGATAATCAAATACAGTCCCCAAACAACAATAAAGTGTGGCAGTAAGGCTGTTTGATTTGAAAGTCTTTTGCTAAATAGCCATAAACCACTGGAGGTAGGCTAATGATGATCATAAAGTTTATTATCGAAAGTATCTATTATCTCCCTGAGAAATGCTGTCTCTTTATCACGGTCTTGCTGATTACATTTCCGTGGTTAAAATTTCATTAGGGCCTGTGTTTTGCTCAGGGTCCCGTAACTCGCCCAGAGCTGAAGCCTGTCAGCTGGGAGCTACTTTTGGGAATTTGGTTTTATTAATACTTTTACGGTTAGTGGCCTTTAATTAACGTTAAATGAAAATGGGATTCTAAAAGCGTTACGGAGGACTTTTCACTTGGGTGTCAAAATAATTTATAGTGATTAATAAGCCTTAAATCACTATCACAAAGAGATTATTTGAATCCATTTTGATCATAAGGCGTCGACTGGAATAGGGTTATAATTTTTTTTAAAAAGTGTATCCCTGGGAGAAAGTTCTATCTGATCTTACCAGTAAGAAATGTGGCATTCTGCTGAACAACCTTAACTTAGAGACTCTGTAAGGGGAGGCGTTAGAATGACAGAGCTGTGTTGGTGGCCTGCTCTGTGTCATTATGGGATGCCTGATTCAGCTTTATTTATCTGTCCCTATTCTTCTCACCCTGCTCAACACACACGCACACGCGTGCACACACAGAGCCCTGTTCTGGAAGGAGATGTAGTATAAACAAATAAAGAAAAGCTTATCTAATTCTCACAGTAACTCCACAATCAGGTCTTATTCTCCCCATTTCATAGATAAGGAAGCCAAGGCTTAGAGTGGTTAGTGACTTGCCCAAGGTCCTCAGTAAGTGTCAGAGTGGAATTTAAATGGGGATTTGTCGGAATCCTAGACCCAGTACATTATACTGCTTTCCCTGGATAAGCAGATACATTTCTAAAACCCTGCTTTCCAGCCCAGAAGGGTCACCGTGGACTGAGATTCAGGGCGGGTCTCCATGTCCATGAGGAACCAGAGGCGACCAAGAGATTAAGGCAGGCGTCCCGGGAAACACCTTAGGTGAAGCCCCAGGAGAAAGAGTGCACAAAAGGGTGGCCACCTTGGCACCCGGACTGGTGGTTTCCCTCCCTCCCCAGTCCTTGGCGGCCAGGCCAGCAGCTTTAGGGGGAAGTGGTGTTGGCAGTGCACTCGGTTCAGAAAAGACAGCGGCCTTGATTTCACCTATTTCATAAACATTATTCAACACATCTACGATAATGTTCTCCTTTCCATATTTTTATATATAACACATTTAAAATCGGTCTGATGCATCAGATAGAAGAGAGGTTTGAGTCGGTGCTGGCTGATCCTTTCTCAGCTCAGCTAGTGCCCAATTGTAACCCCGCCTGCCTGGCCTCCGCCCCCAAGCGCTCTCTCTCCACGCTGGGGTACTGGGCCCCCCCCACCTTCATGGCCATTCTTTATTCTCTGAGGGATGCGAAGCTCTCTGCGGGAGACTGAAGCCAAGCATAACTAGGACCCTAAAGAACATGAGAACCACACCAGCCGCTTTGATTAGGCAGCTCCTAGGTGCTGGGCACCTGTGAGGCATTGCATGTTCGTTGTTCATTCCTCACAGCAGCCTGTTTCTCCTAAGTCTGGTTCTCCTGTTGAAAGCATGAAAAGATGTCTGCAGCTACACACACACACACACACACACACACACACGCACATGTGTGCATATACGTATGTGCATATGTGTTGATCGTGAGTTTTTAGATGATCTGAAGTTCCTCTGTCCGGGATCCTGGGTACTGCGGAGGTAGATGACAATGACAATGAAGCCAACTGTGTCCCCACATGGGCCCAATCTGTAGGTAGACTTGCCCTGTCCATCTCACCTGGCCTCCCGCCTCCCCACTGCATGGGACAGGGAGTTGTTGCCCTCTCTTGCTCCATGAGAGAATTGGGGATCTTACTGCAGTTGTCATGAGTGGATGATGGGACAGTCTCTGGGGTGGCCTTGCTTCGGAACCCTTGCTGACACCTTCTGGACATCTGTTGGGTGCGCTAGGTCAACGAATGCCATCTCATTCCCACGTCTTGTTATTTAAAAATAGAGCAGATAAACTCAGTTATCTGCAGAGTAATCCAGAGAGATCAGGGGCCTTTCGCTTTGCTGCGCTTGACCACAGCTTGCACCCACCTCGTATCTGCCGGACACCGGCGCTGCTGAACTTCAGAGCTGAGAAAAGTAAACGTCGCCATAGAAACTGTCTGCTTAATTGGTTGAACTTAATTGATGGGCCCCTCGGAGATGCCTCGTGACCAGAAACTGTGTTCTCTCAGGTCCTAGGAGCTGGGAGTCAGCTGTGACAACTCACCCTGTGACACTTCTGCACTCCTTGCTGTGCAGAGCCCACACCTCCCTTTGCCTGTGTGTGTATGTACGTCAGTGTGCACACATGCGCATCTGTACGTGTACGTGTGTCTCGATGTATGAGTGTGTCTGTGTGTGTGCATGGCTGTGTGCCTATGGTTAAATGGGAACATGTGCCTGTGTGTGAGTGTGACCATGTGTTTGGGTATATGTGTGTTATCAGTGAGCACACACGTCTGTATATGTGAGTCTGTGTGTGTCTGGTGTGAATATATGTCTGTGGGTGGGTGAGTGTATGTCTGTGTGTGTACGCATGGCTGTGTGTGCATGTGGCTGTGTATTTGTGGGAGGGTGGGTATCAGTGTGTGCATGCGTGCGTATATGTGTGTATGCACACACATGTGTCCGTGTGCGTGGGTGAATGTGTTTGAGGCAGTGTGCGCGTGCGTGTGCCCGTGCACGTGAGCGTGTGCCTCCCATGTGCGAGCATGTGCGCCTGCGCGACCCGGCCCTCCTCCCCACCCTCGCGGGAGGCGGGGGTGGCGGGCCGCGCTCCCCGTCCCTCCGCGTGTTGATATTATCACTTCGGCTTCCCAGGTCTGGCAGGAGACGCAGAATTAAACACAGACGCTCTGGTGCCAAAACAAAATCGTGAAAAGATTTGAAGCCCCCGTTCCCTAAACTCGCAGCCTGTGGAGCGGCGAACAAGCCGGGCTTTGTCTCCGTCCCTGCTCGGAGCGGCGGCGCAGGCTGGAGCCCGCCGGCTCTGATAGAGGAGCTGACTCCCAGCCAGGGAATTCGAAAGTGCTGAAACCCAAAGCAGGATGGAGACGCGAGATGCGATGGGAAGGGGAGCGCATCTGCAGAGGGAAATGAGACGGTCTCGCCGAGGCAGGGGCGGGAGAAAGCGGCAGCCCGGCGTGTGGGAATCGCACAGGCACAGAAAGGGGAGAAGGGTTTCAGGCATGGGGGGCGGGCGGCGGTGGGCCCTGCCCTGGACCAGCGGGGCGGGCGGAGGAGGGTCCAGTGAAAAGTGCTCTCACGTCCAATCCCCGACTCCGTGGCTGGAGGAACGAGCACCCAGCGGGGAAGCCGCTCCCCGGACCACAGGGGCCTGGCGGAGCAGCGGGCGCTTGCTTGGGCCTGTGGCTCCCAGAGCAGTGCTCGCGCGCAGGAGCCACCGGACGGGGAGCTGGCTTCTCCGGGGTCTCCATGTGTGCCCCGGGCGCCTTGCCGTCTCGCCCCTTCACTCTCTCAAACCAAGTTCTCCCCTTTCATCTGGGGCCTCTGGTCTCGTGTTGGCCTTGCCTGAGCTCTCTGGTTTGAGTGTTCAGCAGACCCTGTCCACCAGGTTATGTTTTCACTGACTGTGCCCCAAGAGTTTCTTCCTCCCCGTTTCATCCACCCCGAGGAGGCAAGTGATGACAATAGTTCCCCAAACCTGCAGATCACGAGTGGCTGTGAAGTAGGAGGGGTTTGCCTAGCTGCAGGGCTGTGCACAGCCTTGGAAGGAATAGAATTGGGAAAGAGGATTGCGGGGGCATTGTCCCACTGCCACGAGTGGGTATCCTATCACACGGAACCTGACAGACTCATGGCCAACCGTGACATGTGGATGGCCGTGCCTGCTGCAGCGTTCCTGGGACCGGGTAGGGCCCAGAGCCTGGTTTCTGCTCTTGGACTTGGCCACTCCCCCCAGGAGTCCCCAGGCTGGGGGACTGATCCTCCCCTACCTCTGTTCCAACTCTTCCCCACACGCTTGCGGGCTGGAATGGCCACATCTGTTTACGAAGGACAAAGTGCCCCTTCCTTGGGCTGGAGAGCTGCAGCCTGTGGTTTATTTCACCAGTGACCCCTTCCGCTACTGCCTTCATCACCGTAGACTCTATTTCACAGAGCTCTGTGGCAGATGTGAAAGCCAGATTGCTAAGCTTCTCAGGTTCAGATGATAACTTCTCCCTGTCACCTTTGGTCAGGAAAACCTTGGATTATGAATCTCCTTTATTGGGGCTTGTAAAATGAATTGGGGTACATACAGGTAGTGGAACACACTATAGTCACTAAAAAGAATGAGGCAAAGCTATATAAAGGAAAGATGTCCACAATATCATTCTTTATTCTTTCAATTTGTTAAGTGCAAAAAGCCAGCTGTAGAAGAGCGTAGATTGTTTTATTCCATTTTTATTACATAATGAGTGTAGTGTTGGAACAGCCATATACCAAATTGGTCATGATAGTTATACTGGGGAAATGGAGCTTGGGAACTTGTACTTTTTATTTTTATGTATCTCTGGCTTCCCCCCAGCCCCCCTCTGTCTACTCAGCGTGAATACTTTTTAACTAAAAAAAAATCTCTAATAATACGGAAGTAAATATCGGGTCAGCCCAAATTGGCAGGGGTCTTATGATGAGGCCCTTTCCTTGTGGATAGAACATGCAGGTAAGAGTTTAGGGACTTTGTTTTACTCCTAACCAGGAGTTTTTCATCTTTTTTGTGCCATGGCCCCTTGTGATGGTACAATGACATTTTTGGATCCCTTCTCAGAACAATGCCTTACATAGATTAAATGAAATATATATAGTTACAAAGGAAGCCAAATATATTGAAATATAATTATCAAAATACTAAAAAACAAATTTGTGATATAGTAATATATGTGCTTTTAATACATGAAAATA